ATAGTATATTTATCCACCATATTCATATTGTATTATGGTATAATAGATGTAAACAGTTTCAGTATTTTCTAATTCTCCATCACCAAATTTTTAGTTACTTCATCACTAAGAAACTAATTAAAATATTATTACTTAATGACACATATTCCATATACATTTGAAATAATTCAAAATATCTAATGAGTCTCGATAATATATTTATCCACCATATTTATATTGTATTATGGTATAATAGATGTAAATAATTTCAATATTTTTCTTCTTCTCCATCACCAAATTTTATGTTACTTTATCACTAAGAAACTAAGTTAAAAGACTATTACTTAATGACACATATTCCATATACATTTGAAATAATTCAAATTATCTAATGAGTCTCGATAGTATATTTATTCACCATATTCATATTGTATTATGGTATAATAGATGTAAACAATTTTAAGATTTTTCTTCTTCTCCATCACCAAATTTTGGGTTACTTCATCACTAAGAAACTAAGTTAAAAGACTATTACTTAATGACACATATTCCATATACATTTGAAATAATTCAAATTATCTAATGAGTCTCGATAGTATAGTTATTCACCATATTCATATTGTATTATGGTATAATAGATGTAAACAATTTCAGTATTTTCTAATTCTCGATCACCAAATCTTAGGTTACTTCATCACTAAGAAACTAAGTTAAAAGACTATTACTTAATGACACATATTTCATATACATTTGACATAATTCGAATTATCTAATGAGTCTCGATAGTATATTTATCCACCATATTCATATTGTATTATGGTATAATAGATGTAAACAGTTTCAGTATTTTCTAATTCTCCATCACCAAATCTTAGGTTTATTCATCACTAAGAAACTAAGTTAAAACACTATTACTTAATGACAAATATTCCATATACATTTGAAATAATTCAAATTATCTAATGAGTCTCGATAGTATATTTATTCACCATTTTCATATTGTAGTATGGTAAAATAGATGTAAATAATTTCAATATTTTTCTTCTTCTCCATCACCAAATTTTAGGTTACTTCATCACTAAGAAATTAAGTCAAAAGACTATTGTTTAATGACACATATTCCATATACATTTCAAATAATTCAAATTATCTAATGAGTCTCGATAGTATATTTATCCACCATATTTATATTGTATTATGGTATAATAGATGTATACTATTTCAGTATTTTCTTTCTTCTCCATCACCAAATTTTGGGTTACTTCTTCTCCAAGTAACTAAGTTAAAAGGCTATTACTTAATGACACATGTTCCATATACATTTGAAATAATTCAAATTATCTAATGAGTCTCGATAGTATATTTATCCACCATATTCATATTGTATTATGGTATAATAGATGTAAACAGTTTCAGTATTTTCTAATTCTCCATCACCAAATTTTAAGTTACTTCATCACTAAGAAACTAAGTTAAAAGACTATTACTTATTGACACATGTTCCATATACATTTGAAATAATTCAAATTATCTAATGAGTCTCGATAGTATATTTATCCACCATATTCATATTGTATTATGGTATAATAGATGTAAACAATTTCAGTATTTTCCTTCTTCTCCATCACCAAATTTTAGGTTACTTTTTCACCAAGAAACTAAGTTAAAAGACTATTATTTTATAACACATATTCCATATACATTAGAAATAATTCAAATTATATAATGAGTCTCGATAGTATATTTATTCACCATATTCATATTGTATTATGGTATAATAGATGTAAACAATTTTAATATTTTTCTTATTCTCCATCACCAAATTTTGGGTTACTTCATCACTAAGAAACTAAGTTAAAAGACTATTACTTAATGACACATATTCCATATACATTTGAAATAATTCCAATTATCTAATGAGTCTCGATAGTATAGTTATTCACCATATTCATATTGTATTATGGTATAATAGATGTAAACAGTTTCAGTATTTTCTAATTCTCTATCACCAAATCTTAGGTTACTTCATCACTAAGAAACTAAGTTAAAAGACTATTACTTAATGACACATACTCCATATACATTTGACATAATTCAAATTATCTAATGAGTCTCGATAGTATATTTATCCACCATATTCATATTGTATTATGGTATAATAGATGTAAACAATTTCAGTATTTTCTAATTCTCCATCACCAAATCTTAGGTTTATTCATCACTAAGAAACTAAGTTAAAACACTGTTACTTAATGACAAATATTCCATATACATTTGAAATAATTCAATTTATCTATTGAGTCTCGATAGTATATTTATTCACCATTTGCATATTGTAGTATGGTATAATAGATGTAAATAATTTCAATATTTTTCTTCTTCTCCATCACCAAATTTTAGGTTACTTCATCACTAAGAAATTAAGTTAAACGACTATTGTTTAATGACACATATTCCATATACATTTCAAATAATTCAAATTATCTAATGAGTATCGATAGTATATTTATCCACCATATTTATATTGTATTATGGTATAATAGATGTATACAATTTCAGTATTTTCTTTCTTCTCCATCTCCAAATATTAGGTTACTTCATCACTAAGAAACTAAGTTAAAAGACTATTAATTAATGACACATATTCCATATACATTTGAAATAATTCAAATTATCTAATGAGTCTCGATAATATATTTATCCACCATATTCATATTGTATTATGGTATAATAGATGTAAACAGTTTCAGTATTTTCTAATTCTCCATCACCAAATTTTTAGTTACTTCATCACTAAGAAACTAAGTTAAAAGACTATTACTTAATGACACATATTCCATATACATTTGAAATAATTCAAAATATCTAATGAGTCTCGATAATATATTTATCCACCATATTTATATTGTATTATGGTATAATAGATGTAAACAATTTCAATATTTTTCTTCTTCTCCATCAACAAATTTTAGGTTATTTCATCACTAAGAAACTAAGTTAAAAGACTCACTACAACATTTTGGCTCTCCAGCAACAATTGAAAAACGTTGCCAGAACTCTGAAAATCGTTGCCTAAAACAATAGGGGACGTTTTCTAGGCGTCTCCTATGCGAGCGTTGCCTATTGTTTGAGGCGACGTTTTTTTATATTTTTTCGGAACGCTTTTGAAAAACGTCGCTTATAGTAAAGGAATAGGAGACGATTATTTACGGCCTCTGAGACAACGTTTTTTAAGCGTTGCGTTGCCAAATTCGGCTACAATTAACAATCGTTGCCTTAAAGCTGAATCAAGATGATCGTTTTTGAAGTGTAGCCATAGCTTATAGGTTGTTGTTTTATAGTGTCCACATAAAATATACAATTTTGCAATTATTATCAAAATAATATAGTCAATAATAATTGGCTTCAAAAATAATATTGATTATATAACTTAAACCATACATCCATAAAAGTTGTAATATAATAAAATCGAGTTCAAACTTTAATTCAAGATATAGTATATAGAGTACACAAAATGCCTAACGTAACGATATTACTTTTAATACTTTGAAGTATGACCCTAGTAAAATAACTAAAAACATAGTTCAGCAAAAGAACCAAAATCATATTTCAAGTTTAATGCTTTCAACTACAAGCCAAAAAAAAGACATCATCCAACTCATTCAAGTTTGTCTTCTAGGAGTAAAGCATCCAGATCGTCCTCTTGAAATTCGTTAGATATGTCATCCTCCATAAATTCTTCATCTACGTCGTCCTCTTGAAATTCACCATCTATATCCTCCTCTTGAAATTCATCATCTAGATCTATGTCGTCCTCTTGAAATTCGCCATCTACGTCGTCCTCTTGAATTTTATCATTTAGGTCGTCCTCTTGAATTTTATCATTTATGTCGTCCTCTTGAATTTCATCATTTATATCGTCCTTTTCAACATCCTCATTGATACATTGCTGCATAAGAAAATAAAATAAAACACATTAACCATAAGTACTTTTGGTCCAAAGGACAATTAAGACATCAACAAGAATTAAACATCGCACAAATAAAAACTAAACCAATGAGCAAAACACATTGTTTATATTCTTCACATCTCATGGATGTGAATTAATTATGAAGGTTTTTAATGGATGTGAATTTTCGTTCTAAACTGTAATAGGTGACATGAGCTTACTAGCAAATAAATCAATTTTGAAAACCATTCTGTTTTTGGCTCACTATTCAGGACTTACAATAGCCTTTAACTGTATGTATGTATGTATGTATAACTTGTGCTATCCTTTTATGTTTATTTTTTGGAGTAAATGAACTCTGATGAACACTCTTACTTGTTGTATCTTCTTTGGTGTTCAGTATCATATGGATAAATTTATAGCATACATAGTGAGTGTTATCAAACAAGGGGGTCCCATAATCTTATGTAAATAATACATGAAATCATTATTATGAAATATGAAACTAATTACCTTTTTCTTCTTCTCTATTTGTGATTGCATCTTCTTCGTTGACTTTTGCCCGATTTTGAACACTTTCTTGTCGAGTTCCTTTTTTTGATTGATTTTGATTAGAGCTACGGTTAACGTTGCTGCCCAGTTTTTCACCATTGATTGACTTGGTTGCATCCATTTCCTTTGACTTGTGAAGATCTACATAATCATCAATCAACATTGATGGGCATTTTGGCACCCTGTTTAGCTTTTGAGAGCATTCAACTTTTGACATCATTGTGTCCAAAGATAGAGTTTTCGGCACAACAACATGAAAACTTAGCAAATAAGTTACATACCTTGCTCTAGTCATGGCCACATTGGTTCTTTGCCGATTTGAAAGAAAACCGACTTTTCCACTCCCATTTGATCTAACAGTAGACATTATTATAATATCTTCCTCTCCACCTTGAAAACCGTCAATAGAACGAACACTCACAGAGAAATCAGTATCAGAAACAGAAGTGTACTCCTTAATTTTGTCCTGGATTGCATAGACTTGAGAATTATATGGAGAGATAACTCCAATGCTAACTTTCTATTGTGTCCTCTTAAACTCTAAAATTAAGAACATACACATATTAATTATACACATATTAATAGAAAACATAACCACAAATGGTAAAGAGAATAATAACCTTTTTTGAGGTTTTTAATCATCTCAGAAATGACAACAACCTCAACCATGTTCATCAAGCTGTGTCCGCGGCCAGATTTCTCCTTACCCTTAGCAATGTTAATAAAAGAATAAGACGAATATAATTCTCCTTCAAGGAAACTCTTATTGTAGCTTTCTTCCATAACAAAAGGGGCATCTGAGATCTTTTGATCATAGAACTCTTTGCATGGAAATAAGCTTATGTTTGGATGCATTCGATACTGAACATTAAGCATATGTTTCTTGTACCCTAATATTACCAGTCTCTCAAACATACTTCTTCCAAATCCACAACTATCAGCAATCTAAAAAAAATTCAAACATCATAAACATACTTAATTAAAGGCAAAAAAATTCAAGATACAATAAAACTAAATTCAATAATCAGGTACCTTGCTTTTCACCAGTGCTGGCAGTTGCTTCTCATCACCTATAAGAATGCAATGCTGAAGACCAGGTAGCTGTAAGGGGATTGTGGATTCACACTCTTTCAACTGGGCCACTTCGTCAATTACTAGAAACTTTACCTGAGTCATTCCTTCAGTGTAGAGTTTAATAGAACTAGAAACAGTGCACAAAACCAGACATGCATTGGACAAGCAAAACTTTTGTATTTGATTTCTCCCATTGAGTTCAGGAAGAAAAATAGAACTGGAAAGCAAACTGAGTATTTTCAAGAAATCATCAATTTCAGAGTTTGATGGTAGAAAGCAAGAAGGAATTCTTTCTTTTTCGCTAGCATCAAGAGTTTTCTTAAACTTTTCTGGACCCAATGAAATTCCAATTGACCTTAATAGTTCAATAGCTCGAAACATTTTCTTCACTGTTGCAAGTGAAATAAAAGACTTGGGCAGGTGAGTGTATAAATTTTGTATCAAAAACTTGAGCTTCTCACTTAATTCACAAAATGTCTTCTTCACAAACTGCTCCAATGTCATGAAACTTTTAATATTATCCATCTTGTCGGAATATTCATCTGCAATATTGATCCACAACTTCTGCACATATTCCTCCAATGTCATAATATGATCATCATTCCTACTAATTCGCTTGTACATGCAGAAAGAGGATAACACATGACTATGTTTTTCATTGACAAATTCCTCAAGGGACTTAAGGCCAATCTCTGAAAAATATTGCTTTTCGGGATCTTGAAGAAACTGGGACATGGACTCCAAGGTACGCTTCCATCCGGTTAATGAAGAAAAGCACTGCATGAGGTTTTTCACCCGATAATCAAGAAAGATATCACCAAGACCTGGATAACAATCAACTTTCATTCTTTTACCATTTCCAAAGAGCACAATGTCACCTAAACCATAGGTATCATACTCAAGGGATTCCATAACTAAACTATGCAACCGAGTTGCGACTTGCAAAATCGCAGTATTTGTTGGTGCACAAGTTAGTGTCCTTGTTTTCAACTTGAGAAGATAAAATAGCAGGCATGCAATTGTCTTTGTTTTCCCAGTTCCAGGTGGACCCCATATAATTTTGGTATTAGCATGACAACAGTTTAACATACCAACACAGCTTGAAACAGCTTCTTCCTGTGAATCATTCAAATTTTGAGAACGAATTATGTCTTCTTTAGTGTAAGAATATTGACTACAAAATTTGCAATTTTCTCCACCCTGAAACACAAAAGCAAGTATAAAAAAATGTTACATTCATATATAATCAAACTGCATAAAAAAACTTCATTTTTCTAAACTAGATATGAACTCAAATTTGAACACGACTGAGTTTGCCTTATTTGAACTGAGAAACTAACAAAGAAAACAAATGAAAAAATGATTCTTACATCATGACAAGGCCGCAACACTTTTTTAATAAGGCCAAGGTGGTCACCGTCTGATTGTGAGTTCAAGGCTTTCCAAATACGAACATTTGTTGTCATGTTCATAAGATAAACTGCATACATTTTCTGTTTATCATTATACCTGAAATCAGTTTCAGTCATGCATTTCGATGACATTATCGAGACTTCACCAGCAAATTCATCTTTTGGGGCAACAACATAGCCAACATTGTAGGGACATCTCTGTGTATTAAGATCATCTACTCTTTTAGGCACCCTATTTGCTAAGTAATTTATGTAACTAATCATATAAAATTTAAAGGAATAGAATACCACCATGAATAAAACATACTGAGAGTTTCGTAAAACAATTATATATGCTGTTCAATTTAAAGGAGAGTTATCTAACTAATTATATATGCTATCCAATTTAAAGGAGAGTTTCGTAAAACAATTATATATGCACATGGTGCTGTCCAATTATATATGTTGTCCAATAAAACATACTGAGAGTTAAAACAATTATGTTAATCAATTTTATAAAAAAAACCAATTTCTGTACTCTGCAATATACCGTAATGAATATATATCCAAGCTTCAACATAATGGTTCTGTTTCAAAGTGTATCAAAGTCACATAAGTTGCTGTTTCTAAATTACAGTTGATAGGTTATTGAATTTAGGTGGATTTCAGTTGTTGATAATTTACATTATATTATCTGCATAAGCCATGCTATTTATCCAATGTTTCAGCCAAATTCTATGAGTTTTAGTCATCTGCATAAGCCATGCTATCTCAAATAAAATATATGGCTACATAACAATTCATTAACTTCAAATTGGTTACCTAAAAAATATACAAAACTATAGAAATTGATTAGTAAAAATTAAATGATAAATGACTTTTCTATCTGAATTACTATCAATTAATAGGTTATTGAATTTAGGTGGATTTCAGTTGTTGATAATTTACATTATATTATCTGCATAAGTCATGCTATTTATCCAATGTTTCGGCCAAATTCTATGAGTTTTGGTCATCTGCATAAGCCATGCTATCTCAAATAAAATATATGGCTACATAACAATTCATTAACTTCAAATTGGTTACCTAGAAAATATACAAAACTATAGAAATTGTACTCATGTATATGAAACACAAGAAGCAGAACTCAACTTCAAGCCAGTATTCTTCTATTTAGCAGCATACTTAGGTACAGGCACGTTATGTTTCTTTCTGGCAAGTTACCAAATTCAAGGCATAAAAACATATGGTTTTCTTGATGCTCTTTATTTCTGTGTCGTCATGATGACAACCGTTGGATATGGCGATCTCGTTTCTAATAGTACTATAGCGAAACTACTTGCTTGCCTTTATGTTTACACTGGTATGGCTCTTGGTGGCTTGATTCTTAGCAAAGCAGCAAATTACATTGTTGAAAAATAGGAAGTGTATCTTTTTAAAGCAATATGAAAAGCCGAGAAACTCGGTCTAGAAGAGGTTTCTAAAGAACTTGTGACTAAGAAAAGCAAATACAAGTTTCTGATTTCAATATTCACTTTTGTTGTACTCATGATTACAGGAACTATTTTTCTGTATTTTTTTGAGAAACTAGATTTCGTCAATGCATTCTATTGTGTTTGTTCGATGGTTACGACTTTAGGTTACGGAGATAAGAGCTTCTCAACTCCTATTGGTAGGACTTTTGCTGTGTTTTGGATATTAAGCAGCACCATTTGCTTGGCTCAGTGTTTTGCATATCTTGCTGATTTTTATAAGGAAGATAGACAAAGATCATTGGCGAAAATGGTTCTCACGCGAAATTTTTATATGCATCATTCACTGGGATTATATACTTTTCTTAATTTGTCGCGTATAATCAACGACGACAACACCAAAACCAACACATACATGTCTATAGAAACGACCTCCTCACAAAATCATCAATTGTAAAATATACATGTCGTTCTCCAGCTATATTAATATGACAATATAAACAAACCCAAATAGACATTTTATCAAACAAGATGCGTGCATACAAGAAATTCGTATAATCAATGAATCCTATAACTCAGATATGGAGTTTATAATATGTTTACCTGAGTATCAATGGAAGATGGAAGATGTTGGTAGAGCTTTCTCTTGAACCTGAATTTCATTGATTTTGCAGTTAATTAGATAAACCCATAATTAAAAAGCTTTTAATTTGTGAAAACTAAAAATTCTAAGTAGAATTTCACCTAATTCTGAGAAGAAAGCTCGTGGAGGCATTCTTGAAGGACGAATTTGTTGGATTTGAAAAACAATTTTGCTGATGTTTGAGATTTTTGAAGAAGATGTGTTTTACTGCGTATGTTTGGAAGTATAGTAACAGTGATCCATACTTTGGTCCAGATTGGAACAATGGGTACCGGTTATTTTTTAATTTAATAAATGGGTACCAGTTTGGAACAATGAAAAATATTATAAATTCCTGTGTTAGAAAATTTTTTATTTTCTGTTTAATGAAATTTTTTTAATATATATATATATATATATATATATATATATATATATATATATATATATATATATATATATATATATATAAGTTTTAGACTAATATATATATATATATATATATATATATAATTTTTTATTTTCTGTTTAATTGAAATTTTTTTATTTTTAAATTCCTGTGTTAGAAAAATATTTTTTTTTATATATATTAATAATGTTTAGAGAAAAATATTTGTTTTTTAGTGTATAAGTTTTGGAGGGAAGATTGCCACCAAAAATTTGATAATTCTAAAAAAATTTATACAACATTTCAGAAATGTAGCCTTTTATTAGAACTAATGTAACAATCTAAAAATGTCCCCAAAAATATTTTAGGGGACAATTGCCAAACATTGCTAAAGAAATAATATTTTAATGCTCTAAAATCGTCCCCAAAAGCAGTTAAGGGAACAATTAACAACCGTTGGCAAAAAAATAAAAGAGTATCGCTCCATAAACGTCCCCAAAAGTATTTTAGGCGACGATTATCATGGGTTGCAAACATATTTTTGACAACAATCGTAAATCGTTGCCTATATGAATTTAAGGAAACAATTTCTACATGTTACCTAAAAAAGTGTTGCCAGAGACAACAAATGTTGTAGTGACTATTACTTATTGACACATGTTCCATATACATTTGAAATAATTCAAATTATCTAATGAGTCTCGATAGTATATTTATCCACCATATTCATATTGTATTATGGTATAATAGATGTAAACAATTTCAGTATTTTCCTTCTTCTCCATCACCAAATTTTAGGTTACTTTTTCACCAAGAAACTAAGTTAAAAGACTATTAATTAATAACACATATTCCATATACATTAGAAATAATTCAAATTATATAATGAGTCTCGATAGTATATTTATTCACCATATTCATATTGTATTATGGTATAATAGATGTAAACAATTTTAATATTTTTCTTCTTCTCCATCACCAAATTTTGGGTTACTTCATCACTAAGAAACTAAGTTAAAAGACTATTACTTAATGACACATATTCCATATACATTTGAAATAATTCAAATTATCTAATGAGTCTCGATATATAGTTATTCACCATATTCATATTGTATTATGGTATAATAGATGTAAACAATTTCAGTATTTTCTAATTCTCCATCACCAAATCTTAGGTTACTTCATCACTAAGAAACTAAGTTAAAAGACTATTACTTAATGACACATATTCCATATACATTTGACATAATTCAATTTATCTAATGAGTCTCGATAGTATATTTATCCACCATATTCATATTGTATTATGGTATAATAGATGTAAACAATTTCAGTATTTTCTAATTCTCCATCAACAAATTTTAAGTTACTTCATCACTAAGAAACTAAGTTAAAAGACTATTACTTAATGACACATATTCCATATACATTTGAAATAATTCAAAATATCTAATGAGTCTCGATAATATATTTATCCACCATATTCATATTGTATTATGGTATAATACATGTAAACAATTTCAATATTTTTCTTCTTCTCCATCAACAAATTTTAGGTTATTTCATCACTAAGAAACTAAGTTAAAAGACTATTACTTATTGACACATGTTCCATATACATTTGAAATAATTCAAATTATCTAATGAGTCTCGATAGTATATTTATCCAACATATTCATATTGTATTATGGTATAATAGATGTAAACAATTTCAGTATTTTCCTTCTTCTCCATCACCAAATTTTAGGTTACTTTTTCACCAAGAAATTAAGTTAAAAGAATATTACTTAATGACACATATTCCATATACATTAGAAATAATTCAAATTATATAATGAGTCTTGATAGTATATTTATTCACCATATTCATATTGTATTGTGGTATAATAGATGTAAACAATTTCAATATTTTTCTTCTTCTCCATCACCAAATTTTAGGTTACTTAATCACTAAGAAACTAAGTTAAAACACTCTTACTTAATGACACATATTCCATATACATTTGAAATAATTCAAATTATCTAATGAGTCTCGATATTATATTTATCCGCCATATTCATATTGTATTATGGTATAATAGATGTAAACAATTTCAATATTTTTCTTCTTCTCCATCACCAAATTTTAGGTTACTTCATCATTAATAAACTACGTTAAAAGACTATTACTTAATGACACAAATTCCATATACATTTGAAATAATTCAAATTATCTAATGAGTCTCGATAGTATATTTATTCACCATATTCATATTGTAGTATGGTATAATAGATGTAAATAATTTCAATATTTTTCTTCTTCTCCATCACCAAATTTTAGGTTACTTCATCACTAAGAAATTAAGTTAAAAGACTATTGTTTAATGACACATATTCCATATACATTTCAAATAATTCAAATTATCTAATGAGTCTCGATAGTATATATATCCACCATATTTATATTGTATTATGGTATAATAGATGTATACAATTTCAGTATTTTCTTTCTTCTCCATCACCAAATTTTAGGTTACTTCTTCTCCAAGAAACTAAGTTAAAACACTATTACTTAATGATACATATTCCATATACATTTGAAATAATTCAAATTATATAATGAGTCTCGATAGTATATTTATCCACCATATTCATATTGTATTATGGTATAATAGATGTAAACAGTTTCAGTATTTTCTAATTCTTCATCACCAAATTTTAAGTTACTTCATCACTAAGAAACTAAGTTAAAAGACAATTACTTAATGACACATATTCCATATACATTAAAAATAATTCAAATTATATAATGAGTTTCGATAGTATATTTATTCACCATATTCATATTGCA